ACAGCTGCATGCCTGGTGATGTATTTATGCTTTTCTGCACTGAAGTCGAGGTTTTTAAACAAAATAAAAGGCGTTTTTAAAACAGATAATTTTCCAATAGCAATTATCAGGGAGCAGGTCAGTTAGAAACACTGAGGTCATAGGCAAACTACACTAACAGCACTATAACAAGGACACTTACAGGACAACTACGTGGTCCCTTCGTCCTTTCACTCTTCAATCATGAATCATTGTGACACATTTAATCTGAGCGCAGAACAACACTTTTATCACAGTCAACAGTTACACAATTGGAAATGTAGTGCAAATGTTTGCCATTGATATAAAGCCTTAACATTCAAAAGGTTATCTTACCTAAAGGAAGTCATATGACTGACTGAGCTGTGAAACTTAAGCAAACACTGTAATGACAATCTTTTATTTTTTGTATATGACATTTGGTCTCTCCCTTATTGTAAATAAAGAAAGCTATGTTGCCATGTCTATAAGGGGATTTCGTTTTACCAAATCATTAGTAATGTGACAATGAACAAAAAACTCTTTACATAGCAATCACATTTGCATTAATAGCAACAATTAAAACATGAATCTACACAGTGCACATGGTTGAAACTTTTAATCAAGCCACAGCTGTACATTTAAAAGGATTTATTACAGGCAGTTTCTGGTTTAGACCGCTATCGACAGCAATCCAGTGGCATAGAGAAGAAACAGTGAAAAACTTTTTTTTGCAAACACAAAACAAGGATTTTATTATATAACAAAGTCACATGTTTTCATGACTCAACACATCACTGAAAACACTGTTCAATACCAACAGTAAATACTCACACTGGTAGCAGCTATAACACAAAATGTTTCTGTAGTTTTGTGGGGTAATTTATAATTTACTTAACATTTTTTATTTACTGACTGACTGACTGACTTACTGACTTTAGATGTTTTGGGGCATATGGTAAAGTAAAAACATTCCATTACAGGTAAAAGTTCTACATGGAAAATCCTACTCAGGAGAATTAGCACCACAAAGTATTTAAAGCATGAAAGTAAAACTTTTGATTTCTGATTGATGCAGTCATATATATGGCATAATTATATTATTCATTCTTAAGCAGTATGTATACAGCATGTCACTGTTGTAGCTGCTGCAGCTTTAGTCATACTGTGTACAGTTTTATACACATTTATAAATATTTTTCTCCCAACTTCTCACCTATGGTGAGATATTGGATCATTGAAACCACATGAGAAGTTCAGCTGTTGGTGGTTGGGTGCGTGGTTAGTTGACAACTAACCCAATCACGCGCCGCTTTTTAAGACATCAATCCAACAGAGGGACTGTAAAACTTTGGTTTAATCTTTAACAATGTGTCATATTTTAAAAGCTTGTTGTATTATCCACTGCATAGCTGGAGTAGAAAGGAGAATATTTAATTTTGAAATGGAGTGGAGTGCAAGTATAAAGTAGTATAACATTAAAATAATAAAGTCAAGGAAAAATACCTCAAACCTGGACTAAATTACAGTATTTGAATGAATGCACTCAGGTAATTCCAGGCAACAGCACTTGACCTTCGGACAAAACAGCCTGGTTGTTATCAGTGTGGAGAAGTGATCCTTCATCCATAAGTGTTGTACCAAGTGTCAAAGATGTTGGTCATTTTTTAATTTTAGAATTCTCTGTCAACTCCGTATTCTTCCAGCATTCTGCAGAAAAGCTAACAAAATGACAACATTTTGCAGATTTCCATGATTCTTAAAAGAGCATTTTACTGCAATGTTTATATAATAGAATCTTATAAACCCCAAAGTCTATCTAAGATTAGTGGGATTTGGTAGCTAAAAATACACAATTATGATTCGTACATTGAAAAAAAATACATTATGAGAAACACAGTACTTTGATTTAACTATTCAAACTAAATCATGTAAACCTGTAAGTTCTGGAATCTTGCATCAAGGACATGTTGCTCATTTCCGTGCCTGAATTCCCAACAGTAAGTCTTCCAGGAAATTTTAAAACATTGCTCTTGACGATTACGAAACCATGTTCACATCTGCAACTCCTTAAAGTTATTGAGCAAGAATGTGTGGGTGGGTGGTGGTAGCGATGGTAGCTGCATCCATCTATCCATTGTCTACACACCGCTTAATCCTCATTAGGGTCGCAGGGGGGGCTGGAGCCTATCCCATTTGACTCAGAAGGCAGGGGACACTCTGGACAGGGTGGTGATTTCAGCTTCAGTAGCTGACAAATCTCATTGCACTTCGGTCCATGCTGCTCTTTCCAGAAGCGTCTGATCCCCGTCTCAGCATGGTTAGAGTTACCTCTGGGGATTCTGGTGGAGTGAATCTGGGGGTCAGTGAGGTAGGTCAGCCCTTTGCCGTTGGCTGTCACCCATCCTGTGATAATGGAGGATGATAGTAAAATCCAGTTACGTGTTGTAGGAAAATCATCACACATTCGTAAGTTTGGTGCTCAGCGCGAACACACCTTGCAAGTCCACAACAACCTCCTGGTGACCAAAGCAGTGGTAGGTGAAGTGTCCAAAGGCGAGGCCATATTCCGTAGCCTTGAACCTCTTGTTCGTCTTTACAGTGTTGTTGGTCAGCTTGACAAAATCTCCAAGCATGTAGGGCTCCACCGTTACACAGCCCACAATCTCGTCTCCGTTCAAAAGCTGTCAACCAGTGCAGAGGACAAAAGTTACATTTTGAAACCTTTGAATGATATCGCAGAATAATGATTTTCTCATGAAATTCGAGTGATTTCATGAAGTTATGGTGTTTATATTCAGAACTAGATATTTACTTGTGAAGTCTGGAAGGGTACTTGTTTTTTTTTTTGCCTAATAAACTCAAGAAAAAGCAAAAATAATTCCGAGAGAGTACTTGCCACTAAGCAGTCATTTGTAACATAATTGATATCTTTGACTTTTTTCCCAGCTCATGGCACTTTGTAGCATAATAACAAAGAAAATATTGGCTCTGCTACTGTCACAGAACGATATTTCTAGCGGTAAACTGACAACTGGAGGGTGTCCTGGGGTATTACATTTGAATTTCAACCAAAATTGCTCCAAGGCTGCTGCGGGCTATTCTGCACGCCGCGTACGGGCTCCTATTAACGCTGTATTTATGAAGTCATTTTAATTTTAATACAACATCTGCTACCTCTAGATTAAGTAAACATATATTTTACGTTTGGCGTGTGTTTTTCCGTTTCATCTCCACCAACAGTGTCTCACCAACAGTGCTTCGGAGGGAATGTAGAAGATCTGAGCCATGACTTTTTTCTCGTAGAGACTCTTGTTGAATTCCGTCACGTAGTACTGGGCGGTCATCTGTCTCTCCACATCTTTCAGGTAAAAGTGGATATGTTTCGGCTTCAAGTAATCCTTCCCGACATAGCTAAGGACATTAATACACAGACAAAATGAGACTTAAAGTCATCATGTTGAGGTTGATAAAGATTGTGTAGCTGCATACCTGCTTAACCTCTCCTCCTGGTGTAAGAACTGTACCCATATTGGTGATCTCTGGCGGCCCTTCAGCTCCTCCTTTATCTTCAGCTCCTCTCCAATGTAAACACAGGTCTCCCTGGCCGTCCACAGTCCTGTGGCCTTGGAGAACTTTAAATTAAGAGCACCTAGTGGATATAACAGGCCGAGATTAGTGGATAGTTGCAGTGTTTTATTCATTCTGTAAGACAAAGTTGGTTTCTACATTCTACAATTCTACCAGCCAACTGACCCAACCTGTGCTGATTTTGATGCAAAACTTGATCTTCTCAAACTAGATAAGGGAGTCTACAGCCCTGCTAGAGGCTGGGTGAAGTGTATTTTAACTTGCTGATGTTTGTGCGAGTGTTAACATTTGCTAATCAGTTTCCTAAAACAGTGTAAAGTGTAAATTAAATAAATTAACAGCAATTTGACTTCATGATGGTGCAAGAAGTGAGAAGTACACCCCCATGCAATGTCACTTAAATACCACACCGCATTATTTCAAAGCTAACTAGTGGAGCATTTCCTCTTATACGATCAAAAACAAGCATTTTAGGAAGACTATATTGAAAACACAAGCACCACTGTGGAAATTCAGTTTAACAAAAGAGAATACGGCTGTGGTTATTGAGAGAAGTTAGGGAAGAAAATGCAATCATGGAAACAAAGCTGAGTATAGCTCTGATTTTTAATCAGCCTAATTGCACGAGCATGGTTGTAAAATGAACTCTATAACTTGCTCAGTTTTGGATCCATAGGCTACTTTCCGCATATCTGCACCAATGCACCACTCACAAAAGGAACTGCCAAAGAAAATGATGCAGCAAGATTGACTAAAAATCAGTGGGCACATAGCTGCAGCAGTAATCGCAAGGTGTAGAATGAGCCACGGTTATTTGCACAATGTAGCTTTGAAAAACAGACGGGCGCCAGTCTTGACACTGAGGTTATCAATTTCTGGCAAAGGTTGGGTTGTGTGAATGACATTGCATATTGTCCCTGCCAGCAGCTACTACTGAACTAAATACCCTATTGTTGAACTCAGAAGTAATGCAGTTACTATGAGGTGAAACCATTTCAAATCATTTGATATTTAAGTGGCATTGCGCTCACTTCTGTTGTTTCCCGCATGAAAATGGTGTTGGCATAAATTGTCTGTTCTACACTTTATTGAAATCCATCCATAATTAAACATTTAAATATATTATATATTTCAAAATAGATTGAAACTGAGTAGTAGTGTAGCTAAATGGATAGACTGATGATGAAGACAAGTTTCAGCAATCACAGGAATACAAACTGACTGTAGGCAGTGCTGTGTTTCTTGAGTTTGAATTGTGTCTCATCACTCTGCAACCTCTGCAGCAGACACTCGTGGCAAACCCCGGCGAGCAGTGCTTGGTAATCCCGCTCTGACAACAAATACTGTCTTGTGGGGGCAAAATCAGCTTCGGTTCTCGGGTATAGACAGCTGTGGCACAAGAGGTTCTTCCTCTGAGACACGTTCACTTTCTCTGGAGAAGTCACATTTTCGTGTTGATTCGCCTCCAGCATCTCAAAGGAACTTCCTGTGGAGGTGTCTTCGACCGCACACTGTTCTGGGAGATCTTGTGAAACATGGTGTGGGGTTGCTACAGACTTGTCGGTCTCATGTTTTACAGGCTCTGAGTCCACTTCAGTGTCCATATTTGAGAAAACATTGAGGTTCTCCAGAGGTTGTGGCTTGGATGACACTCTGACCTTCCCTTCAGATGTGCTGTTTTTGTACGTGCGATCAAAAGCTGAATCATTGGTTACACAATCACGTGTTTCCATAATAAAAAAGCTCCCATCTGAATCTGGTGACTTGCTCATTTGGCTTGTTTCTGCTTTTGATAGGCCGCTTGGCTGCGGTTTTCTGCATATGGGGGAGTCAGCGGAGATTTTCTCCCATGATGACTGGGAACTGAAACTATCGTTGAGGGAGCTGGATGTTTTAAGAGCCAGCTGGGATAAGGATTCCACCGATCCCTCTGTAAAATTAATCACCCAATCCTCCTCAGAGCCCATTGTAGCTACTTCAGCTTGTACTACTTTAAACTTCTCTAAATCACTACTTGCTTTGGAGGAGGAAGGCGCAGGTATTGCAGATTTCTGAGCAGCACAGGAACCGTTCCTGGAGTTACTACT